TCCTTGTACCACACATGAATTAACGCCGTGATTAGCTTCTCCATAGTTGTACAGTCCATATTTAATAGGCGATTCTTGCATATGGCCCAGAGATTCTCAATTGGGTTGATATCCGGAGAGTTCCCTGGCCATTCCAATGTCTCAATTTGATTCTCAGACATGAATTTCTTGACAATTTTGGACGTATGGCAAGGAGCTAAATCCTGTTGAAAAATCCCTGTTCCATCAGGGTATCGTTTCTTCAACTCTGGAACAACTTTTTTACCCAGAATAGTAATGTACTGCTCAGAACGCATCATACCGTCAATAGGCTGCAAAGGTCCAACCCCATTGTAACCGAAACAACCCCAAAACATCTTCTTTAAAAAACACGAAAAAAAAAGTTTGTTTCAATTAATTTGCACAAGGGTGTAGTTCCAATGCAAATGTCACGTCGCGCTTTCGTTTTTTATTTATGATATTTACAGTTACGATGATTATTTTTTTTTATTATTAAGACTAATTGAATGAGAAAATAGTTGCAGAAGATTTCTTTTTTTTTTTTTACTTTTTAAAACATTAAAAAAATTATGTTACTACCTTCGGGGCCATCTTTTTTTTAAATAAATAAATTTTAATGGAACACAGATATTTTTAATTTGGGGTATAAACCTAGGAATTTAAATTCAGTTTCAATGAAATGGGCGGACCGGTACCATTTGATTCACGGACCGGTACCGGTCCACGGACCGGGGGTTGGGGACCACTGATATAGACCAATTACGCTTTTACTTTTCTTAGGAAAATTCTTAGAAAAACTTCTTATAAAGAGAATCAACTTTCATCTCAAAAAGAATAACATCGTATCACATACCTAATTTGGATTTCGTTACGGTAAATCAATAAATCACGCTTTGAATAATTTCTTAGAGAATTCAAACAAATTAAAACAAAAATATAAGCATGTAGTGGTGGTTTCGCTGACATGGAAAGCGCCTTTGATAATATTCAATATAATTTAAGCTATGAAGAACTTTCCAAATCCAATATGCCAATAAATTTATGCCACATCATTGAAAGCATCAACACATATAGAACAGCCATTCTCTCAACCAATCAAGGTTACACATTCAAACAAAGGTTGTCCGCAAGGATCACGCTTTGGACCAACAGGCTGGAATTTAGTTATTAATAATCCTCTTATTACTCTTAACAATAGTCATATAATACAGGTCTTTGCTGACGCTATAACAGTTCTTACCTACGAGAACTCGAGATGAGATCTAGAAAATACAACAAACAGTACACTTAATACAATTCATGATTGGTTGATTAATAATAAACTAACTCTCTCAATAGAAAAGTCAGTTTTCATACACTTCAAGAAATCTAACAGATTTAAAATTAAGGAACAAAAAGTAACACGAAAAAACCATTTCATATAACTTTGCGTAATTTTGGATAAAAATCCAAACTGGAGTCCCCATATTGAAATCCTTAAAAACAAATCTAATAGCCTCAGAAGCTCTTTAACAAAAATAAATACTCGTACCAAAACTTGGGGCATCAATCACACCTCAAGAAAATTTATATACAAGACAGTCATACTCCCTTTCCTCTCTCATGGATCCTGTGTTTGGACAAGCAATATCAATTCAACCAAGAATTATGAGAGCACTTGAAACAATCCAACGGAAATTTCTATTAAATATCTCCAGACCGTACCATTCACCTTCCACAGCCGCACTCCAAGTTTTTTGTGGTATCCCCCCTCTATATAAAGAGATTGAATTGATTTCCCGCTTGGCATCTCTTACTCAACTTAAAAAGGACATTATCCATGATAATATACCGTATTGTTACATTGATTTTGATACAAAGCAATCAATCCCCACCTTTCTTCCTTCAAGCTACCTAATGAATACAATAAATCTTAAAGAAACCAATAATTATAATAATCAAAATGTACACAATTCCTTTACAGATAGTTCTAAAATGGAGACAGGCACCGGCTTTGCATTTTACAACATAAATTTCTCAAAAAATTTCACTCTTAACAAAAATGTTTCCATCTTCTAAGCAGAATTACTAGCCATTCTTGAATGTATTCTACATATTAAAAAACAAAATGACTTTAACAATATTCAACAATATACTATTTGGTCAGATTCTAAATCGGCTCTTTTCTTATTGAAAAATTCTTGCACGAATAATAAACTATCAATTTAAATCCAAACACTCTTATCTAACACTAATGTACAACTTTTATGGATCAAAAACAACTTTCATGGCTCATCAAAACAGGCAAGGTAATGAACAAGCAGATGCTTTTGTCAAATTATCCACGACCAATAAACAAAACTATTTCTATCCGTATCCTACTCCTTTTCTCAGGAAAGAACTCAAGACTTCAACCAATAATGACTGGCAATTATATTGGAATAACATCGAATAAGGCCGAAGACTTCATAACCTTATTCCCAAAATAAATTACTTTAAATCCATACCTACAAAGCAAGAAATATGGTTCCTTACTGGACACGGTGTCTTCCCTACATATTTCAAATTCTTAAACGTAACTGACACTGGTCGATGTACATGCATGTGGCCAACTGGGCACTCCAGAGCACTATCTTACTGAATGTATTTACACTGCCTCTTGGCATAACCGTCCGCTGAATCAATCTAACCTATACAAATAGCAGAAAAACTTCCTAACTAACAAGACATTAAATACTAAACTTAAAAACACAATGCATTTTCTATTCATTATTGATTATTTAATAAAATTTTAAGGTTAACCTCATTAAGTTTATGGACTGTCTACTTAAAAAAAATATTTTGTCTAACATAAAAAAATTTTATAAATATACATAAAATACTTATTTTGTCATACATGTACACTTTTTCTATTATATTTTTTCTATTATATTTTTTCTTTTATTTCTCTTTTTCAATTATTTTATGCAGCTCACAAAATTTTTTTCATTCATTGTCCTTTTTACTTCATTTATTGTTTTTTTTTATTGTTTCTTTTTTTTAAACAAATGCGTTGCACGCCTTTGTCATCTGCAAGACTTTTCATTGTTGTGTACTAAATTTTATTGTAAAAATTATCTAAAGCAAGCTACTCGGTACTATGCATTATGTATTATGCAATTTTATTTTAATAAATACCCGCTGATCAGATTCGCTCCCGGGGTTGTGGCGAGATGGACTGGTAGCCATTTCAAAAAATGATGACATAGAAAAATGATTTATGTTCACTAATAGATCTTATTAGTATCATAAGGGAAATATTTGGACATGAGAAGTGGCGGCACAAGTGTTCTTTTTAGTACATATATTTTTAGTTGAATAATTTCAACTGTTTTATACCAAGAAACAGCAATTTTTGCAAAACAATCATAGGGTTTTCTGAGCGGCAGGGAACAGGGGGCTTAGTCTCCTAGTAAAATATAATACAGTATTTAAACTTTAATAATTTTGAGAACAAAACCTAAATGTCTATTCCATACGCAACATTGCATTATTTCCTTTCAAAATTTAAACAGGTTGCAAAATAATAGACTATGACGATATCCTTTGCATATTCTGTGTAGCGTGACTGAAAGAAATTAGGAAAGTTGACTCCTCGAGATATTTATAATTCACACCTTTCATTCACTTGACATGAGTTATTCATAGAGCTTTCTAGTCATATGCTCTTCCCAAAAATCACATAATGCTGACGGATTTGGTTCACCAAGACTTTCTTTTTCATTAAAACAAATATAAAGCTTGCGTGCGTTCAAAGAAGTTAAATATTTTATGATATACTATCTTTTTCAAAATTAATAGAAACTTGGAATGTGATAGATTTTATAACCATGTAAAATAAAGATTTAATACAATTTCCCGTGAACTCGGAGACTCTTTTCTTTCTTTTTCCAAGTTAATTGATTTTCTTTGTATAATACAGAATATGAAACTATATATAATGTCTTTTCTGATTAACAATAAAATAATATTTTATAATATGTGATGAAATTTGGTAATAAAATTAACAATTTCCCGCAAACCGTTACCATATGAATGGGAAAATTATCAAGTGTATGGTTTAGACACCCTATATATTCAGAATTAAGTTTTTTTTTACCAGAAATGTTATTAGCATACGGTATGGTAATTTTACCTGACTTTTCTTTTCTCCATGCATTAAAAAAGAATATTGTTTGGTTATTCTTTTGACGATAACTTCAACCATGAGATTGACATCTAAAACTAAATATCTTAAGGCAATTATTTTTGCTTAGTTATCAGGTATTGGGTATAAACATAATTTGTATTTTTCTAATGTTTTTACGTTTTGAATGGAATTTATTTTTTGAATCTTTGCCTTCTGTCAATGTAAAAATTCTATGCATTAATAAGCAATGGAACACAGGATTTAAAATACATTTTCTGTCATTTTTAAAATATTTTACCAAATGAAACTAATCTTTTTTTGCAACCTTCTATCATATTTAATTTAAAACACCGCGGATATCTTTTGTATCACATATAAGTTTAGAAACATTTTTTGGCTTAAATAAGTTTTTATGAATCTTAAAAATGCTCAGAAATATGAATACATTTTCTACAGTTTTTTTTAGTTTTAATAATAAAAATAATCACTTACCTCAGCCATAATTATTTTCATTCATTTGGATTTCACCACTAGTTTCTACAA